GGGTGGGTGGGGGGGGTAAATGGGTCGAGCTGAGTGGGAGGTTAAACTTGGGAAAAGAGAGACGAATTACTTCAGAACCATATTTTACATTTGAGGAGGACGGTATTTGAGCACGCCCTTTTAAATACTCGAGGTTGTCTCAGTATCACAGTATCAGTATCACAGTATCAGTATCACAGTACAACGTACTGCAGACAGTGGAGAACTCGATGTTTCCTCGTACCACGAGGGAAATCTTGCAAAACTTGCAGACTCCTAAGTTGGAAATCCCAGATTTATAAAGTCGGACAAAGGCGTCCATTTTAATTTTAATAGTATGTACAATTTCCCACTGGACCATACCAAGAACAGTCGGTCAGAACCGTCAGTCAGCCAGAACCGAAAGTCAAAACAGTGAGTCAAAACAGTCGATCAGAACAGTCAGTCAGAACCGTCAGTCAGAACAGTCAGTCAGAACAGTCAGTCAGAATGGTCGGTCAGAACAGTCAGTCAGAATGGTCAGTTAGAACAGTCAGTCAGAACAGTCAGTCAGAACAGTCGGTCAGAACAGTCAGTCAGAATGGTAAGTTAGAACAGTCGGTCAGAACCGTCGATCAGAACCGTCAGTCAGAAAAGTCAGCCAGAACCGAAAGTCAAAACAGTCAATCAGAACAGTCGGTCAGAACCGTCAGTCAAAACAGTCGGTCAGAACCATCAGTCAGAACCGTCCCAGAACCGAAAGTCAAATCAGTCAGTCAAAACAGTCGGTCAGAACTGTCAGTCAAAACAGTCAGTCAGAACAGTCAGTCAGAACAGTCAGGCAGCCTCAAACAATAATTCTTTTGCCTTAAAGACAAACTGCTAAATCCAATAACGCGCTGCGATGACTAATTCCTCCGCCCTCACGTTAATCAGCGGGGGGGGGGGGTTGGGGGGGGCAGCCTGATGAAAACTGCACCTGGGAATGAATAAGTGAAACGTTCCCTCACGTCCACAAACACCGTCGCCGCTGGTAATGACATTTATTTTTCCTCCAGAGAGAGAAAATCCGTGAGCTGCGTGGGTGCCAGGAGGAAGTGAAGTAATCCAGCTGGGTTAATCAAGCTCTGCTCCCGCGCTTACAACCTTAATGCGGCTAAGATATACCTCCACAGGGCTTTATCCGACAGTTACAACGTCGCCCTGCTGCTCCAGTCAAATTAATATGAGTGCATGTAAGACGAGGACTGAGGATGGAGAGGGAAAAAAAAAAGGGAAGGCGGTGAGTGACTTTTAGACGACAGGTAGCACAGGAGCTAACGCAGTTAGCGCTCCGTGGTCCTGCTTATCTTTCTCTCTAAACTGACTTGAACCATGAGCACAAAAAAAAAAAAAAAAATCACAGACAGTAGTAGGTAAAAGATGAAGTGAGAATGAAAATTTCTTTTATGGCTTTTTCCATTTAATCCATTTCTTGTGAAGTGAAGGTTCAGCGTTCACTCTGTTCCACTCAGTAAAATTTCATTGACAGTCACCGGCCTTTTGAAATCATTTGATTTTATTTTCATCTTGATCTTTACACAAGGCCTCTCCTCAACAGAGGCTAATATTTACACCGCAGCGTGACTACAGACGGCGGAGGGTACGCTAAGAGGAATTTAGCAACTTTTGCTAACTTGATTTGCCAAAGATACAATTAAAAAGAACCTAAAACCACTGAAACAAAGATGTTCATTTTTATCATTAAATATTATCATTCCTAATTTAATATGAAATATCTTTCACTCTCAGCAGCAAAATCTATTCAACCGTTCACGTAACAGCTTTGAGCTGGTCGCTGTGGGAAACGTAAACGTTTGAAAGGTAGAACCACGGATTCAAATATTTGTGATTGGTCGAGTAAAAACATGCAATTAATCTCAAATAACTGCATTTTCGTTGAATTTCATCAGTAGTAAAAGCTCCGACCCTAACCTTCACAGATTAAGTCATTCAGATAATGGACGGATGTAGTCGCAGATTACTCCATAATCGCTACTAAGTAAACCTGAACGGGCATTTCTGGTTGGACCAGAGAAAAAAAGAAAACTCAAAGATGACGGATCAGCTGGTTAGCAGTTTTCGCTAGGTTTAGCCAAACTTTGGACAAAAACTACTAATGTTGTCGTCGAGCAGAAAATTCTTAATTTACACCTGTAATTATTGGAGTACATTTAAGAAATGTAACTTTTTTTTTGCACACAATTGGTGGAGGTGTACAGCCCCATTTATAAAAACAAAGCTCTGACCAAGGCAGGAGAGAGGGAGAGAGAGAGAGAGAGAGATCAGGTTTGTAAACAGCCGGTGACAAATGCTTGATTCATTCCATTTAGTAACAACATTATACAAACATATCTGGTGACCACGACTCTTGACTGACGTTCGGGTCAACATTTAGCCGCGCCCCGGTTGCACACAAACAGCTGAGTCTCGCACCAAAACCGCCTACTCACCTCAGCTCAGCTCAGTCAAACAAATTGAAAAGGCATGAGCAGCAGACACATGCTCACTTCCTGTCTTTTTCCCGTCTCGGAATGCGACAGACTGATCAGCAGCTGCCGCTGCACGTGTGAGAACGACGGCGTCCGATCAGGTTTGGCGCGTCCGCGGCCGACGGCGCTGCCCAGACCGGCAGAGAGCCTGGTGCCAGCGTCCCATTGCTAAGCCTGTCTCTGTGCTTCACAGCTCACTTATCTGTTACAGGCACAGTTCAGGAGGCGCTGGGCATGGTGGGAATTTAGAGTTGCTGGCAAAAAAAAAAAAGAAAAGAAAAAGTATGTATAATGTTGTGTAAGGGGGGAAAAAAACGTCTGTTGTTGCAGTTCTTTTTTTTTTCCTGCACCAGTGAGAACATGTTTGCTGAGACACTAGATTATAAGGGTGTGTGTGTGTGTGTGTGTGTGATCACCCAAACAACCGTGTGCACCACGCCCACTCTCATGTTCAAACTCGACAGGAAAATAATAGCAGATGGAAAGAGAATGGAACTGTTACGGGCAGAGCGTAAAACTGCCGTCAAAATCTAATGTTTCAAAACACAAACTTCACGCCATCGTCTATGATTCATGGATCCCTGGAGTTTTTTTTTTTTATTTTAAACCTCCCCGCGACCTCCCCGTGACCCACTGAGGGGACAGAAATAGACGCGTCATCTTTAAAAAACGTCTGCATGGGAACTGGAATGCGGCCACTTCGACTTGAACGCTTCATCCAACAGCAACAAAACACCAACCACGAGACGTGTGTTCTGTTAAAAATTAACAGTGTCTCTGGGAGAGTTTGGCAGATTTGTGCGATCGCAGTGGAATCTGTCCAACCTCCAGTCAAATACACTTCAGGAATCCTTCTTTAATCAGCCTCGCACAGACTCCGTTCACCAGGACGTATCAACCTGGAGCAAAACCAATAAAAAATAAATCTGTGAACAACACGCCGCCCAGTTAAAAATATTATTCTATGAATAGAATTAGAGCTTCGGCAAAACCAATACAGTTGATTTGGGGTTTGTTTTTAAAACAAAATAAGACAAATCCAAAAGTGTCTACACCTCAGGGAAATGATCAATGACCTCGACTGATGAACATCAAAAGTCAAGTTAGTTCTTGGGTTGTCAGGTCGTCTAACGGATTCTTCAACACCTAAGGTCAGTCAGTTCACACACACACACACACACACATCTGCTGCGGCAGACTCAGTCAAAACATCATGTTGTTCACACAAAGACAAAACGTCACAACAAAGTTGTTTACAAGTGGTTAGACGATTAAAAAAAAAAAAGATTGAACCAGGACACATTTCCACAGCAGGTGCGACCACGACCTCTGCCTGTGTTAAATAATATAAATATCCAACCATTTAAAGCTAGTTCAAAACTATGGTTCCACATGGGACTGGGGGGGGGGCGTGACAGGCTAGGCTAGGATAGGCTAACCTAGCCTAGCCGTATCTGAAGTGCTGTGCTCTGTCACTGACCCGTCGACATCGTGAGCTCCACCTGCGCTCGCAGCTCTGGCTGCAAAGGTCAGGAATGTAGACTCAGAAGAAGCCAGGGGAGAAAAGGAAAATGTCAGGCGCTCCGAGCTCCGTGTCAGGAGGACGTGGGCTGGAGAGACGCTCGCACGTCCAACCCCTCTGAGAGCTAGGCAAATAACCCTGGGCTGTTTTCAGAGCTCGCTGTGCTGCTGAGTCTCCTGATAATCTCCTCAAACACACACACAAACACACACACACACACACACACACACACACCTCACGGATTGTCACCATCTTCTCCTGGCCACTATCTTGTCACTCTCTCTCTCTCTCTCTCTCTCTCTGCTGACGTTTTGAGTCTCCGACTGTTCTAACGTCTTGTTTGGCCTTACATCACGTCAACACGACGGAATATTAAAAAACCATCACATCATGTGGAAAATCACAGCCAGGACAGAGTGAAGTTGGATTCTCACTGGGTTTTTACTGCAAAAATTAAACAAAAATTTAGGACAATGACAAATTAGGCCAGAAGAACTCATTTTGGCTAGCCCTCGTATGAGAGATGCTTTTCCCGATACGACCAGAACTGGGATTGGTGACAACGTGGATTTGAGCCCAGACCCGACAGCACGACAGACGGAGGTCCAACCACTGCACCAGAACTTTTTGTCGCTGTTCGAGCCTGATATTCTGACCAATATCAGACCAGACACACTCTGGAAGTATCCATTTTATTTACTTGATATTCATCGTAATCATTACCAACCTGGTTGTGAACTTTGCGCTAATTATTACGTGTCAAGATAAAATGTGGCATATAAAAAAAAAAACGTCTTCCTCCAGACAAATAAAGAATGTAAAAAACATTCCTGACGTCCTGTAATCATTACCTGTCACCTTTCTGTTGGCGCGGAGAAAGAATCGCTAATGTGACCGACACCCAGATAAATAAAAGCCTTTTGTTCAACCAGAAATATTTAAACATTAGCAAATGTCAGCCAGACTCATTAGAGAAAACACAGTAATTGATGCGAGGACGGTGGACGAGCGGGAGACATCCGAGTTCAGTCGTCGTCACGACAACTTCACCAAACAGAAACAGGGATAAGGTACAATTTTCTAAGATGGCTACTCATGGTTTAAATTGGGGGGGCGGGGGTCAAACTCATTTTGGTTCAATCTAATGAGATGTCAAGCGGGTCGGACCAGTACAACCATAACATAACGTCAAGCGGGTCGGACCAGTTACAACATAACTACATATAAATAACAAAAACTCATGCAAAAAAAAATACATTAGATAAATCTTCATATTTTAGTGAAATATAATTTTACAAATTCTTTCCTGAACATGACATTTTTAAAAAAAATTATTATTAAGATTCATCAAGTGGGCCAGATTGAAACTCCAAACGGGCTGGTTTTGGCCTGCGGGCCGTATGTTTGACACCCCATGTGTCTTGTTCTAAATCATTTCAACTGGACATTTATGTAGGTGTCGATACAACACGCTTGAAGTTTGGCCTTTTAGCGTGTCTACGGCCTACTTCCTGTGACAACAGGAAGTAGCTGTGAAGTAATGGCTGCTGCTTCTTCCTCTGTGGACTTCTATTTTCACAGAAAGAGTCACAGAAAGAACTGAGAAACACTCTGGACTCTGGATATCACAGAGTGTGTCTCTGGGTGGCTGTAACGTTCAGCCATAAAAAAAGTAATTGTACCAGAAATAACATATTACACGGTCCTAAAAGGATGAAGCGTCTGCACCGGAGCCAGAAAAACATCTGCAGTGCATTTGTTGTGCTGCAACACAAAACAAAGACGAAGGGAAAAAAACTCAAAACTCTGTTTTTTGTTTTTTTTGGAGTTGAAATTTTGCAAAAAATTCATTCACTGGTGAAACTTTTTACACAGTACAAAACAGTGAATTCAGATTCATGTGAGGATGTTTGCAGAAACCTAGAGAAATAATACCCCCCCCCCCCCCCCCCCCCCCATCTGGAAATGGTTAGCAGCACACCTGCTGTAGGTCCAACTGTAAAACCAAGCAGGAAAAAAAAAGAAAGTCAAAACCAGCTTTAACTAGTGCACGTTGTCATCATTTCACTACCTGAAAGCGTTCAAACCGTTCAAACCGTTTGGTGTCGTTACGACAAACACGACACCAAACTCAGAAGTACAACATTTAGTCTGACTAAAACGCAGAACAGAGGAAGCATTTCTGTGATTCTGAAACTCCGACTCCTCCATTCTCCACTGATTTGAATTTCAACCATGTGACAGCTCAGAGCTTCAGACGTGTTGCAACACAGTTTGGAATGAATTCCCTCCAAAGGCTGTGAGAACAGAGTCAAAGTTACAGGGAAATTTCAAAATCTACCCACACAACCTGAGATGGTGCTGAAAAAAAAAGAAGATTACATTCCATTTCTTTGACTTGTAAAGATATAAACAATCTACGCTGCACCAAGACACTCAGAAAAGTGAGCCAATTACAGTCCACTTCAACATCAATGATGTCAGATCTACTTGCCTCAGTTCTTTTATCTGGAAGATCCTGGAAGAGGTTCAGTGACTCAGGATGAAAAAAAAAAAAAACAGCAGCCAAGGAAACTAAGAGAAACAACCAGGGGTATTTCCTGACAGTGAAGTCAGATCACGGAGAGAAGAGGAGTCTGATGAGGAGCAAACATCTTCTAGAAGTTTCCTCTGATCAGATTTACATCAGGAAGCCGTAGAAGTGAGTTGGCGAAAATCATTCAAACCCGCAGACAAACCCGCAGAGACGCCGCTCTCTGACACCAGGTGGACTCAAAGTTTCATTTCTGGTACGATTCCAGCGTGACTCATCCCGTTTCCTGCTCTTGCCGACACGTTGCTGCCTTTTCACCCCTCATAATCAGGTCTTCACGGCCCAGGTTTTAGTCCCTGGGTTGAACCAACAAACTGTCATAACAGCAGGAGCCGCCAGATCCTCCATCACCTGACGACAACAACAACAACAACAACAACAACAACGACAACAACAACAACAACCCACTGGTCCTCAACCTCTTTGGTCATCTACCCTGAGTGGGGATTTGAACCCCCAACCACCCCAACAAAAACCTTGACCACTCAATACACCAAGACAGATATATTTAACAATCCATCAAAACATGAAGTTCAAAATGAAAAAAAATAAATAAAAGTGCAGTTGTCCCGTCTGTCATGTCTGCTGCCCACCAGTGGGGCCTGCCCCACACTTTAAGAAGCATAGCCTTAACGTGAGGAAACAGACAACCTGTGAACGCGTCGTTAGTTTGGACCGGACTCAGTGGGATGAACCCACGTCGCTTTGACTTCAGTGTTTTCATGTCGTCGTCTTCGTATTTTGGTTTCAACATTTCGTCTTCAGTCTGATGTAAATCAACTTCCTGTTGAAGACTGAAGAGGTCAAACGGTCGTCCATCTGTCGACCATCGCGGTAGGATTTAAACACAGACGCTGCTGTAAACTCACAGATGAGGAGGTTCATTTACACACATCAAAACAGCCACGCACTCGTCTGATAAAACGCCGCATTATCTACGTCTGCAGCCGTATAAAAGCCGTCTTTGGGAGTGCATTTTAAATTACAATTTGTATACACCCATCACACACACACACACACACACAGACAAATGCACTTCCTGCTTTCACATGAAGCCGTCTTTGTCCTAAGAAAATGCTAATTGCGAGCTTTGTTCAACGTAAAGAGATTTTTTTTTCCCGCAGCGAGTCGGATACAGCTACATCACTCAAGTCCCAATGAATGAAAAAACAAAACGCTGTTATTGCCAGTAAGGACTAATTAAATTTCTAATATGTAAAGTAATTACATTTAAATGAAGTTTACTTCGTGAAAGGACTGTAATTTGTAGTTTGGCAGAGTAACCATTAGAGGGAGAGCTGTGCAGTTCACCAGCCTGTTTCTGTTCATCTACTTCCTGTAAAAATAGTTAACAATGTAATATGATTTTTAATTCATTTTCCCTCCAGTTAGACTGTATGATGTCCAGTGACTGTGGTCCAGAAATCAGATTAACACTAAACACGACTAAGGCCCAAAAAACAAAGTCTGTGGCCTTCAGGTTGACCCACAGCCAACACTGACAACGCTGCAGACTCACCACCGACAGGAAACTCTGTGGACGTCGTACCTCATGTCCCTGACGTGTTTTTGTTGTTGTTGTGGTTCGTCTGCAGGAGGGACATAAAAAAAACACCCTCTAAACAAACAGCTGGTGGTTCTAGATATCAGCCTCTGCAGTAACTGCCCCCCCCCAAACCCCCCCCCCGACCCCTCTGTTTAAAAACACACACTGCTACTGTTGGCCGACAGACTCAGGAAAAACCGTTGTCTTTCCGGATGAGTGTGTACAACTGCGATGTGACAATGGTTGTTAGCTTCACCTGGTAACGATTGACCAAAATGGTTTTTTTTTTTCTGTGTGGGAGGCAGAGGTCGTTGGAGACGTGAACAATGCACCGAGACCAAACACAACGGCCGAAAATAAACTCTATTGTGATTGGAATGAGTCTTACTTCCTGAATTCCTCGTTGTCAGTGAAAACATAATAAAAATTCCCTTTCTTCAGGAGCTTCAGTGATTATTTGTCTCTGGAAATGTTTGTTAAAGCCATTTAATAAACTCTCCGTCAGTCTCGGCCTGTGGGTGGCGCTGTGTCATCCGTCACTGAGCAACTCTACAGATGCAAAGAACAATCCAGAAGGCGTGTTCTGA